TAAACCCATGGCGGAGGGTTCCAAAATGCGCATATTTGGTCAGGCGATCTACCACCACCAAGATGACCAAAAAACCCGGATGACAAAGGTAACCCCATGATAAAATTGAGAGCTATCTCCTCCCAAATCTGAGCTGGTATAGGCAAGGGTTGCAAAAGGTCCCCAAGAGAGCAAGCTTGGTACTTGGCCTGATTACATACATGACACCCTTGAATGAAATCCTTGACGTCTTCCCCCATATTACTCTAGTAAAAGTTTAAAGCCAGTTTACTCAGAGTTTTTTCTATAACCACCATGACCACCCAAGGGTGTGGCATGAAACTCCATGAGAAGTTGCTGCCTTAAGGATCCCACTGTTGGAACCACCACACAACCATGAAAAAACAATAATCCATCACAAAGACTATAACCAGGAGGCCTTGTGGAGCTGCTTTGAAAGTCAGCCAGTAAAGTTGCACAATGAGCATCTGCCGCTAGACTATCATGGATGTTTTGTAAAATTTCAAAAGTAGGAACTGACAAGGCTAAAAAAGACTGTCTCGACTGGAGGTAGTTCATCAACAAATTGGCACGAAAGGGCATCAATAGAGATGTTGTCCTTTCCCCACTTATAACTCACTACAAAATCAAAACCCAATAATTTAACCAAATAAGTTTTCAAAGGTTTGAACTACCTTTGTAAGGAGGCTGTAGAGGGTTTGTTAATCGGTACATATGATAAACTTGCAGCCCAACAAATATTGGCGCCAATGCACTACTGCTTTAGTAATAGCACATAATTCCCTAGCATACGCAAAGGCGCGTTGCATCCACAGAGATAACGTCTTACTACAATAGGCAATGGGATGCTTGTGCTGCATGAGTACCGCCCCAATACCTTGCCCGAAGGCATCAGTTTCATAAATTTTTCTTCCATAGTCCAACAAAATTTATCTTTTTGTAGGAGGGATGTTAGCGGAGCTGCAATGTGAGCATACCCATGCACAAACCGACGATAATACCCTGTCAAACCCAAAAATCCCCTCAACTGGCAAACATTGGTCGAAATCAACCACCTTGTCATGGCTTGAATCTTGGAGGGATCCGGCTCAAGCCCCAGGCCTGAGACAATATGGCCCAAGTAATCAATTCGGCTAACCCTAAACAAGCACTTTCCCCAATTGTCATAAAATCAATGAGCTCGTAAGCAATTAAGGACCACAGTTAGATGTTAAACATGTTCAGCCTCCTCATTACTATAAAGCAAAATATCGTCAAAGAAGATGATAACAAATTTCCATAGGTATGGCCGAAAAAGATCATTCATGGTGGCCTGAAAAGTGGTCGGGGCATTGGTAAGGTCAAAAGGCATCACCACAAATTCGTAGTGGCCGTCATGGGTTCGAAAATCCGTCTTTTCAATATCAAACTCAACCATCCTTATCAGGTGGTAACCCGAACGCAAATCAATTTTGGTAAAAATTGTTGCGCCAAACATGTAAATTCCCTCCCTAGCCGGGTATTTCCTAAGTATCCCTTGGCCATTGAGAACCTAGAAAAGACACACCTAGGAAATGAGTTTGTTTCAAAACCTATACTTTTGTTTGTTTTGTCTTTGTTTTTTTTTTTATTTTAAACATATTATTAAACATTCCGTATCCATAAAATGATTCAAGAAATTTAGCTTCTCAACAATTTCTCCCTTGACTTGAATCCCCGGACATCATACTAGCATATGAAAATCTTACTCAGTTGACAGTCTTTTATTCTTTCACAACAAGAAGTTAAACGACTTTATCTCTTGATTTCTTAAGACACACACCTTCATCAAGCAAATATAGTTGTTTTTAATTCCTTTTGCCTTGCAAAATCAAAACATCATATTTATACACTTCGCATCCATCTCTTTGACCAATGTAGGTATATACACGAGAAGCCAACTCACCCAAAGAAATCAAATTGTGACTACAACTCAGTACATACCTCACATGATGAAGCTTCTTGACAACACCATTGTGAAGCTTGAGACAAACGCTACCAATGCCTTCAATCTTTACTTTCTTGTTATTACCAACAACAATATTTCCATAATTTTCATCTTCTTTCAATTAAACAAAACAATCTTTATCATTACAAACATGCATAGATGCAACAGAATCTAAAACCCAACCTTCCATTATGGGCCAATTTATTCTTTAGCATAAAAAATTAGAGATCCCAAGATTTCTATTATGTGTGGTATCCGAAAGTAGAGGCAAGAAAATAAATCATAGCTTATATGGTGATATAAAAGGAAATGGTTTCCTACTTATTGAATTTTATGGACCAAGATTTCTATTATGTGAGGTTTATTAAATTTGATACAAATTTGATTCCCCATTAGAAATTTATTCCAAAAAAATTTTTGAATCGTCATTTAGGGGAGTATAGGATTCAAATAAAATAGTGGGAGCTAATTAAATTAGCATTAAAGGTTTAAATTTACAAGACACTGATAAGACTTTTTAATTCTTTCCAACCTCTTACAATAGTTGTTGTGTGATAGTTAGTTGAAAATGAGCAATAATCTTCTTTTGAGGATTTTAGACGACAAGAAGTTGACCGAACTAGACTTCAAAAATTGGGTGAGGAACCTGAGAATTGTTCTCAACTTTGAAAAGGCGGTGTACATTTTGGAAGCACCCTTTCCACTCTCTATAGTTCCAGATGCCACACTGGAAGAGAGATAAACCTTCGATAAGGGGCAAAAAGATGTTTTTGTATGTTCCATTCTTGTGTTGCAGAATTTGAATTAAGTGTTAATTCAAATGATCAATCCTAGATATTAGATTCAGCTGATACATCTCACATTAGTATTTCATTATAGGCACTGCAGAATAGTTATGCATTGTCAAAAGATGAAGTCACAATGAAAGTGGCAAATGGAGCAAAAGTTGAGGGTGAGGCAATAGGGACTTGGCATTTGACATTGCCATCGGGACATTTTTTGTATTTGTACAAAATTTTGTATTTTGCCAAAGTAACTAAAAACATCATTTTTGTTTCTGTTTTATGTAAATCTGGTTACAAAATACAGTTCAATGGAAATGAGTGTTTAATTTATTTTGGAATTAAATTAGTTGGCAAAGCTATTAATACAAATGATTTGTGGGTTCAAGAATTGAATGATTGCTTTGCTTGATATATGAAATAGTAGACTAATGCTCTTTATATAGAGCTAAAAGCAGAGGCTAATTCCAAAGAATTAGGAACTGCCTAGTAAAAGCTAAAGACTAGGTAAACAAACTAATCAACCCATTCCTATAGACTAGGTTACTAAAGACTAAGTAAATAATAATTTTCTATTGACTAGGAAACAACCATCCATGTATAGTAACAAAAAAGACTAATTCAACAAATATAACATACCCATCAATTTATTCCAACCTAACCAAACACATTTCCCTAAATATTCCCAGTAATGTTTAAGATAATCTATCTTTCCATTAATATAACATTCCCCGTTATACAACATTACCCAAACCAAATGCCCCCTAAGAGTAAACGATTCTTTCCCACCCAAATAATGGTTTGATGACACTTTTCCACCTACAGTTTTTAAAATACCACTTTCTTATCCAAATTTATATTCTGTTTCCGATTTTGGCATCGTTGCGACCCCACACCACCATTATTCTCTTCCCCAATCATCACTCACCAAAACCTCTCAAACCCTACTCCTGCAGACCCCGTCAATCATCGGCAATCGAGCAATTAGGGTTTGCATAGCCGCCCCTCCCAAGTCAAATTTTGATCAATCCCAACCACCAAAATCCAACCTTCCACCACCAAAAGACTCATCGCTTTTCCCTCTTCAAAAGCCCCAACAGCTTGGACCAAGTTTGCTCTTCCCGTCGGAATATAAATTTGGGTAGTAAAGTGGTATTTTAAAAGTCAGTGGGTGCGAAAGTGTCATTAAGCCATTATTTGGGTGGGAAAAAGTCGTTAACTCAAATATATAATATAAAGGTTTTGACAAAAATGAAATAATATAAATTTGATCGGGATATAATTGTTAAATAAAAATGTTATTAATTCATATGTCTTAGTATTCAAATAAAAGCTAAGGTTTGTTGACCTTTTGATTTTATTCGATGATCATATAAAAGTTTAAAAAAAAATATATATATATAAAATGTCTAAATAAATAAAAGTTAAAAATAAACAACCATACAAGGTTATGCGATTAGAACTTTTCAATACTGTTAGCCGACACTGTTCACAGTCACTGTTCATCGACACTATTCACGGGGTACTGTTCATAGGTACTTCACTATCGATCCAATGTAGGATCAAGTCTGTCGGTATCCACATGAAGGCAGGCTTGGGATCACCCTAGGATTGACTGCTAGATCAATCGGAAAGCTTAAGTGAAGGTGTTGGAAATTAGTGTGAGAAAAACTCACAAGGTGGCTAGGGTTTGGCGTGATTGGGGGAGAGAGAGAGAGAGAAAATGTTTTCTAATGATGCACCAAACACATTCTCAGAATCCTATTCTAAAATGTATTCAGAATAGGATTTCAGAAATCCTACTAAAAAAAGTGCATCAGAGGCGGCCTATATTTGTAAGACTGTCTCATATAAACTTTTCTGTTGGCGATAATAAATGTAAGCTAGGAATTTGTATAAAATCACAGTTTACTCTTCCTTCCATCAAATTAAATATAAAAATCTTACATATAAGAGTAGATAAAGAGTAAAATTTTATTTTTCTCCATCAATTGTACTGTGTCAATAAAAAAATGTAGTAATCTTCGTCGTGTAAAGTTCAAAGTCTTAATAATTTCGACAATCATACAGTGGTTTTATTAGATGGATGTTTGCACTAAATTTGTGGCTCAAATAACAAGCAAGAACTCATCAGAGACAGCCAAAACGATGATAAGATTACTTCAGTTACACAAAAAAGAGCAGAAAGAAACAGCAAAAAATACAACAAAACCACTAAAGCTGACAGGGAAAACCCTAATTTTCAGAACCCGTTACTCTTCTTTTACATTTTGATAACTCTCCTCTGCAGTAACCACACAGCTTCCCTCCGTCCGGCGTTTGTTGTTACAAAGCCAAACTTTAAAGATCTTCCGGCTGATTCCCACTTCATCACAAAACTGTTCAACCTCTTCTTCATCATGCTTCTGTGGCCTCCACCCCAACTTCTCTGCAAATCTCTTCATTTTATCCTTCTGTTCAGGGCTAAGCTTTGTCCTCGTCGCCTTCTTCTTCATCTTCATATCCTTTTCTCCACTGAACCCATCACCAATACGCGCATCATGAAGCGTTAAAAGTGAATAATGTGGGTGGTTTAGCATCTGTTTTCTATGGAAGCTACGGTGGCAACCGCACACGGCGCAAAGAAAGGCATCCGTAGTTCCATCTTTGCCGGCTTTGAGAAACTCTCCACAGCCATCAGTTGCGTAGCAGCCCATGGCGGCTGCATGGTTGCGTCTACATTCTCTGTAACTTGCTCCTCCTCCTGGCTCAGCCCATTGGACGCCATTATAGGATTGAGGCACACTGGTGGCAGTTTGGTTATTTCTGGCTCCTGCCATGAGAGTGAGAGTGAGACAGGGACTGAAATGGGGAGTTTTAGAGATGTTAAATTGTGTTTAGGAAGTGAAACGGCTGGTTAATTTGGCTTGAAGTGTTAAGAGAATCGCCATTTGGAGATGGGTGTGCACTAAAACCATGACAAGTTTTTGCATGAAAATCAATACGTGTCTTGTTTTGTTTGTTTGTTGTTTTCTTATGCATATAATCTGTTAGGAAAATATAAATTATACAGTCCATTTTTTATTCAACTTTTCTCAGCTTAGTTATCATTGACATTTTTTAACCAATTGCCTTAGATACATATGTTATTTCCTGCTGGTTTTTTACCTAAGGGAGTTTTACTGATTTCATGCAGATAGCAACACATTATCATCGACATAAAAAAAGTATTTTCGACACATACCACTAGAAGGGTAACATTGATAATGATTTCGTTAGGTTCAATAATGTTTTAATAACAATAATTTTTTTTATTATTTTATGAATATAGGCGAAACCAGAGAAAAATTCAAAAGGAGAAAAATATGACACTTTGTCAGGGATACAGTGAACCTTACTTTCATGGAATTTTCCAATGCAAAGTTAAAAATATGATAAAACTAGTAGACTAATAAAAATATTGAGTTATCACCTACTAACTTAAACTTTTAGGTGGGATAATAATTTAACAAAAAGAACCTAAAATATAAGCCAAATTGGTAATTCGGAATACCCTGTCATTGATAATTTTAGAAGGAGAGGAATCCCACGAATTTAAATATAAATAAATATATGTTTACTGTTATTCAAATATTGTTACACATATAAAATGTGCATTATCATTTATAATTAAAATATCTTAGTAGCAACTTTAGAGGATTCAAATCTCAATTACACAATGTGGACTTTGGCCATCTGTATCTTTTATTAAGACGCAAAATGTAGACTATGAACCAACCACTTTTAGGATCATTGTTAGGTGCTGTCTGCAAATCCTAATAACAACTTAATTACTAATTAGATATCATTTTAGTATGTTTATCAATCTCTCTAATTCTAACAAAAACAGTAATTGCATGAATATAAGAAGAAATCTTATAAAGATTTTGGTAACAAGATGAATAAAAGAAGTTTTTTTTATTAATAGATCTGATAAATAATATGCATATTTGCAACATTTATCGCCTTATACCAATATATCTCCAAAAAGAATCACAAATTCGTCAAAATTGATGATTCGCATGTGCGCTGATGTTCGGACCATTGGGACTCATTAGACTGCAAATGAATCAAGATAAGAAGAAGAAAAAGTGGAACTTCAAGGTTGTGTTGTGGCACAATTTTACACGCCGCGACACAAATAAGTGCAATCATAGTTGTGCCGTAGTGTGAGTTTATTGCGCCACGGCATAAATCGACGTTATCCTTGTTGTGCCACAGCGTAGATTTATGGCGTCGTTGCACATATTGGCGAAATCCAAATTGCACCGGGCGTGATTCATCCTACATCATGGCGTAGTTGGGTTTTTGTCGAAACACAAATCACCAAGAGTTGCGCTGCGGCGCCAATCGAGAAAAATGCAAATATTGCGCATTTCCAACCTTAATTTGATTTTCTAATATTTACCAAATTGCCATTATTTGTAAAAACTATATAAGGGCAATTAAATTCATAAGTTATTCATTCATTTACATTACAAACTTTGTAAACATTTGGGTTAACTTGGAGAAGGGGTTTTTGAGAGGCAAGGGATTAAATCTTGATTATTTGTTGTGGATTTATGATCCAAATGATTATGAGTAAGATTAAGGTTTGTTCTCTTGTAATTATGAGTAGCTAAATCCCTATCTAGTGTATCCAATGTAACCTAATTTGTATACTCTATGTTTTTAATCTAAATTACTTGTTTAATCAATTCATTACAATCTTAGTTTCATTCATTGTTGTTCAATCAATCCTTGATCATTATTGTTGCTTGATCATCTTTAATAGTTGATTCATTGATTGTATGAGTCAAGGTCAGACTAGACGCCCTAGCTAATCTTTAATAGCTCTTGATCTTTGATAGTTCTTGTTGTTAATCATCTTTAATAGTTGATTTATTGATTGTATGAGTCAAGGTTAGACTATACGCGCTAGCTAATCTTGAATAGCTCTTCTGGAGGAATGATTTGTGTCTGTACATACACCCTATCAGACATAGATTGGTTTGTGAACTTTCAGGTACTCGTATTCTTAATGGGTTTTCAGTAATTAGACTATACCATATGCCCTAGCTAGTTTAATGATGAAAGAACTAGGTTAAACCCAAACGCCCTACGGTAATACCTTAATTTGGTGAGTATCGACCCTAGGATTTGAATTGAGAAAACAATAGTTAGATTATTGGCATAGAGTAGGATAATTACGGTGAAATTGGATACCTAGACCTTTACCCATTCGTTTCTCATTCATTATATTATCGTCTTTACTTTAATTGTTAATTTTCATTATTTCACTGTTATTTTAGAATTATTAGTTTGTTGATCAATTTTGTTACTTTATTTGATTACTGCATTGTTATTAGATTTAATTGATAACTTACAGTTCTCTGTGGGATCGACCCTTGCTTTTGCACTATACTGCGATTATGATTCTTGAACTTGTGAGGAATAGGATTTTGTCAATTAAGTTTTTGGCACCATTTCCAGGGAATTGTTTAAGTTACTCAATTTTCTTTGATAACATGTGGTTTAATTTTTGTCATTATTTTAGTTTATCTTAATTTTTAATTTTTGTTGTTTTATTTCTTTTATTTGTATTACCTTTTATTCTATATTCTTTGGTGTGTGAGTTCTTGAATGCAAGGTCACCGATCTTTGGATGAAGAAGTGATTCCTTACTTTAATAGAGTGAATTTGTTCGGTAAGGAGAGAATAGAACTATAAAATTTGGAGGAGTCATTTGAATCAAGTTCTGAATCCGAAGAAGAAATGGCTAACTTACCTCGTCTTATTAAGGAGTACGCAGTCTTACCATTTGAACATCGCCTTCTTGCATAATCTTGAGTGCCACAACAAGGAATTATGAGCTAAAGAACATTCATTTTCATATGCTTCCTTCATTTCATGGAATAGCCACAAAAGATCCTTTAACTTTTATTCATGATTTTTACTCAACTATGCAAACTTTTCCTTTGTAGAATTTAAATGAAGATCAATTGCAAATGAGATGCTTTCCATAGACGCTGAAGGATGTAGCAAAGAGTTGGTTCATGTCTTTAACAGCAGCTTCACTTACCACTTGGGATGCAGTTTACAACAAGTTCATAAGTAAATTTTACTCTCATGCAAAAACTGCTGAACTAAGAGGTAAAATTGCTACTTTTTCTCAACTTGATGGTGACCATTTCATGAGGCTTGGGAATGTTTTAAATTGATTTTAGTTCAATGTCCACATCATAGATATCCTTTAGAGTTTTTGAACGAATTTTTCTATGATGGACTGACATAAGCTTGCCAAGCCATAGTTGATATTACAACAAGTGGTGCCATGAGAGAGAAGACTACAGAAGAGACTTATGAGTTGTATGAGATGCTTGGAGCCAATTCCCAGTAGAAGAGTGTTAGAGGAAAGTCAAAAGGAATTTATGAAGTAAGTGCTAACATTGAATTGGCAATGCAAGTGTGTGAATTAACCAAGTAGATGAAGATGATGTGCAACATGATGATGGGACAAGGACAGAGCAGTTTTAAAGAGGTATGTACCACCTAAGCCATATGTTTCACCTATACCTTTTCCTAGTCATTTAACTAAAAGCAAATGGGATAGGTCATTTTCTAACCCAATCTGACTTCGGCAACTCCTCTCCTTGTTGATCTCTCCATTTTCGATTAATTTTTAGCCACCCAAGCACTAACGTCATGACCGTTCACCTCCACACCACTGTACGACATTTTGCCTATATTTTTTATCAGTTTCTAGCCCCACAAGCCTTCACTCTGACCCTTCACTTGTTAGTCTACCTTTCGCAAGCCTTCAGACATCCTTTCTGCTTCCGTTGACATGACTTTTAACCTTCTCACCGTCGGCCACCATCAATTGGGCTGCTCTGGCCTCTCTTCAGCTTCCTAGCTGCTAGCCATTGCTTCATTAGCCATGATCCATTCCCTCTAGCTACTAACGACTCGATTTCCACCATGACTAGCCACTGTTCATCGTCTCTAGCCTTCATCAATACCACCATTCAGTTAAGATGCCTAAGGGCTTGATTAAAGATGTGTTAGTAAAGGTTGAGGGCTTATATTTTCTAATGGATTTCCTTGTTGCAAACATGGAATGTACTGGTGGTGGTAGTGTGCCACCAATTATCTTAGGGGGACCTTTTCTAGCAACTACTAATGCCTGCATTAATTGCAGTTTGGGTGACATGGAGGTGTCATTCGGGAATTAGAAAACTTAGGCTTAATGTATTTAACACTGGCCCAGGATCTATTGATAATCCGTAAATTATACAGTTTTTATTTGATCTTTCTGTCAGATTTCAGGTACTTTCTAGTGCATTTTACCTGAATTGGTGCTTAATTCTTTACTTTTCGTGTTTCAGGTTAAAATGGAGTTTTTGAGCGAATAAACACAAAACCGGATAGTTTTGACTCAGAAATGAGCGGATTTCAGAAGATAGGAGAGTTTCGGAGCAGGACAACCCACGATGAAGCTTGTTTCCAAGGAAGAGAGCTGAAAATCGAAGAATCGAACGAAGAAGCAAGCAGAGTGGCAGTTCTGTAAATTTTAGAACTTTTGAAGGAGCTTCGCCCCGGCAAAGAAATTGTCTTCGCCGCGGCGAAGTAAGGCAGAGGCGATGTGGAATTTTTTCATTCTTCGCCGCGGCGACAGTCAACTTATTCAGTTTTGTAAACGCACAGTTTCGTGTTGTGCGTGTTTTTGGCTAGGTTTTTGGACTAAGTATAAAAGAAAAACTTAACTTTTTGCTGAGGGATCTTCAGCTTTTTAGGGTGAGCCGTTTTTACACTTTTCTGA